TAATCTTGATTCACTATTATGGTGGAACTACAAACATTAATTTTCAGAGGACATAGACACCTACAAAAAAACGATTATTAAAATATAATAATCATTGCTTTATTATTTAACATTTAAAGTGTGACTCAGCATACAAAAAACACTTTCATGGCAATGAATCCTTAACTCAAGGTAGCCTAGTCTCTTCATTTTTTCTTTCATCATACAACAGCTTTAATCAAAGAAGCATACGAAATATTTCATAAGAGAATATCCAATGTTGAACTACGTATTCGCCTCGAAATAGTTTTCATCTACGAAACTGATATAATATTTTGTCGCGAAAATTCTTAGTCATTTGAAACAGATAAATGAAATAAATATTAAATGTTTCATACCTTCTGACATTTTATACAAAACTCCCAGTGGAGAGATTGCACTCTACAAAGGAGAGCAAATAGTGGTGCATAAGTATATTATTTTTAGAATTTCATTAACATATAAATTGCATTAAATTATTTTTATTATTCTGTGAAAACGGGGACTAAAATTCTACATCAATTAGTATTCAACCTCACAATAATATTTTGCATTCTGACCGCATTCCAAAAAACTGAAATTAGAAAAATAGACAGACGATTTTACACTGCACTCAAGTAGCTATTACAACTCAAAACACAATTTTTTCACCGAACAGATACTAGCATAAACTAGAGATAGAGAGAATACAGAAAATGCTCACAATGTTGTAAATTTTTATCTTTAACTCTTTAGAAATCTGTGTATATTTTTTCAAGCATTAGTCGAAAATTATGCATCATGTGTATATTTTATCTGGTCGATATTTGGAGAGCTCCTATTTTTTATTCAAAGAAAGCCCCTATAACCATTAACGTAATTAAAGAGACAATCTCCCGAAAGTAAGTCGCTGTTGTTAAGTATTTAAACCCTAATTCTCATACCCCGGTGTCAACGTTTATGCCTGTTCACAAATTTAACATACTTATTTTCACCACTCTTATTTTTGGAAGACCCAAAATACTACTTTTAATCGTTAAAACTGTTCCAGTTTAATACATGCACCTAAAACCAACTTGCCATTGACGCAGAGTAAAAGCACCTATTTATAACCATTGCATTACTGTAGAAGTAAAAAAGTATCGCCGATCCCCCTTGATCTATTTCCAATCGTATACTAACTTTTTTTAATACGTGCGTAGGTTTCAATGTTTGACTTCAAATTGACATTACAAATAAACGTGCTAATGTATTTCATCATACGGCGGTTTCAATCCGACCTTCAAGTTCATATGTCAAGTGAGAACAATAAGATTTATTAATCAATGTTTAAAGAAAAACAAATCATGAAGTCGCAGTGTCACGATCAAGGGATCAAGCAACTACCGTGTGAAATTTAGCGTCCAATTAGCAGCGACTCATTAAAATTTTGGCCAGGCTCAAAGATGCAAAAACAGCATATTCGAGGCTCATCACAACTTTTTTGGAGCATATTTATTAATTTGGCAGCCGTGAAGGACTCATGCTACCACGCATATTGATCAAATTCCCACTAATTTGAGCATTCAAGCACTATTTTAAACATCAGTAAAATATTGCGTCAATTTTTCTTTGGCAGACGAGCACTTTAGTTTTATTGTCGTGACAACAGCTACATTTATACCGAAAGAAACCGTTTTAAAAAAGAAAGAATAAATACAAAAGTGGTACGAGACACTGTGTCGTCTTCACATGAATTACAAGAATAACATGTAGTGACCCAGTGAATGCCCGGAATAATGCGCGTTCATGCCATGAATGTGGCTAATGTCTTCGACTCAGCTGAATATAGAACATGTTTGCACGTTATCTTCACATAAAAAAACACCTTATTATAAAAACTTGCTATTTGCGTTGGCCTATTTGGTTTGTAATAACGCAACTGGTCAGAAATTACACTTGTTACGTAAGTTATGGTAGTCAGAAACGGTGACTCATGGCAGTCCCATCATGTTTAATTACTATAGCCAAATTTGGTTAGTTAATTCTGTACGGGATACTACTTCCCTGCATTAGTAGTAGGTACATTCACTCTATTTCCTGTTAGTAAATAATAAATGATGTTTTGACACTAAAGAAATAACCAAGTAGTATTTTCACTCGCTGGCTTTAGATATTCGAAACGCCAACACACTTTTCGCTAAAACGAAAAACTCAGTTTGTTGTTAAATATATAGAACACACACAATAATGGGTATTTACTCATTTTTATGACCACCACAGACTTATACTTGTAATCGTGGCTGCCTGATAATGAAATACACCAAGTGCAAACATTAACTTTTTGCAGTCTCAAGATTTACCAAAATTTTTTTTGTCTTCACTTCATCTCCAAAATATAGTTTTATAACTGCACTAACGCTAAACCTTGATGAAAGCAATGTGTGCACATCATTCCTATTTAATTACTTATATCATCTACTTTAAGGAAAAACATGTCCACCACCTTATTAAATAATTAAAGCCACAGATAATCACTAAAAGAAGCAGATACTACTTACGATTAATTAATCGATCTTGGGAGAAATTTTAGGAGTGTTAATACAATTATCAGATAAAAACAACTATAACTGTTGAAGAAGATCATCGAATCGCTCCGTTAATTCAAGTAAATGGAACTTACTACACAGGCATTCACTATTTTATCTCAATGAGACGGTGCTGGTGGTAATATTCCCAAGAGAACATTCTTTTGAAAGCACTTGAATTGCAGTTATTTATAAGCAAAAGTAAAGTATATTTTCTGTCAACGTTTTACACAATTCACTCAAAATATTAAACAAATGTCAACATAATATGTACCCTCTTCTGTACTGAGTTTTTAACTTTAAATTTGTCAAAAAAATTTCAATATTAATTTTAAAATAAAATAAAAAAGTCAATGTAAATTCGTAAAACGTAATTAGAATCTTAGTAAGACATTTATCACAAACAAATTAAAAATAATAACACTTGATAATGCATTAGTTTATTACACCGCATGATATGAATATTATTTTAATTTAACCTTTCAAATTTAGATGATGGAAAACATAAAGCAAAAATCTTCGAATAACCTTTAGACCTAATTATTTCATTTAAAATAAGAACCCGTACCACTAACCTATGAACTGTAAACTTAATTTTTTAACTTTTACAACGATTATATCCTACAAATTATTCATGCTAAAAATTTACATTTTAATATCATTTTGCATCAACATATTCGTTCAAAAACTTCAGAAATGTAACTTTTGAAGCTTTCTCTTGTCATTTCTAGCGTTCCTTGCACCCAAAGGGCTCGAAAAGGATAATAAAACGTTCAAATTTTAGGTAGAAACCGTCTTCGTGTTGAATTGTTTTATAAGCTTTCAAACAAGTGACAAATACATAAATGTTATCACTATAATCTGTAATTTATTAATAAATGTGTCGCGATAGCATACTTCCTAAAATAATTTATTTTATAAAAGTAAATCCAGCGACAACGTTTTTAACAATATGGCACACGTTTTTTTGTATACCTATTTTTTCTATGCTGTACATCTCTATGAGATTAATACACGTTACGTGTTAAATTATGAAATATAAGGAAAACAACTATTTTTCTAGAAAAATTCTAACACAGGTTCGTTTTAATTTCTGACAATAAACCTTATATGATCACGATGATCGACAGTTTCTTAAAAAGATTTTATCATTTACATAAGAAAATTAATTTGATATTTTAGGGTAATGATATGTTACACGGATTTATTACTGAGCGGGAATCATACAATTGTAGTTTTAATTTATGAATCAAAATCTATTTAAAATAGTGCTAAAAACTAAACTTAACTAAAAAAAAGTATATTTCTCGGAAAGGAATTTATTACACATAAGTATACCATGAAGAATACTGCTGTCCCTAATCAATTCCCAATCTGAATCAGTATAATTAACCACAGTGATAACGAAAAAATGTTGGTCAACATTCTGTAGCGCCAGGAAATTACACACCATTAAATGATAAAAAAACACCTACTTTAATGTTGCACACGGATGAATCGTGTCGCTCTTTCTTTTATTATTCTCAAAAAAGCCACAAGATTTTCACTGTCTTAATAAATTTTGCTCATCAGAACAACAGTTAAAAGCTAAATTATTTATTTGTATTGTGATAAAATCTAGAATTTTGCAACATTGAGGTACAGATTGAACATGACTACACAACAATGCAGTGTAATAATTGTTGTCTGCTACTTCCGTTTTTCGATCTCAAGACGTTCGATAACTGTGGTCGTTATAAGAACAGTGTACGGTATAATTTTTCGTGCTTGAATACCTATGCAAAATGGCTTATTTCTTGAGTTCCGTTTCAAATTATGTCATTCATGGAACCTGATTTTGTTACGGTACAATAAACTGTCTATCAACAATAAGTGTTCAATCTTCAATCGGATCATATGTTTTTCTCGATTATAAAATTTAAGATTTCACAGATGATTTATTAAGTACCTCCTGCTTCCAAAAAAGTATAGTTACTCTACGAGTACACACAAAATAAAATAAAAATCCATAGGTGCAATAAACGTAAGTTTGCATTTTTTTAAAGAATTGCAACAATAATGGTCAATATTCTCGCTAATAACCAAAGTTTGCTTATACTTTAAATGTGATAATAGTTGTTTTACTTTTATTACATTGGAATAATTTAAAAAAATTAGTGTAAATTAAACACTAACCTATCCACACATAGAAACGAATAAGAAAAATACGTATCTACGGTTTGCTTGACCAAAAAAACAAAAAAATAGCAAAAACAGCAAAGTCATTGTACATCAATCTATTTTAGCTACCCGTGATCGATTAAAAGTACTTAGACATCTTAAAAATAAACCTACGCGTATTTATGGTTGTGCATTGTGATAGAACTGAAAATAGATCCGAATAAACATATACCGCTATTTAAGAAAACCAAAAAAATTAAATATTTAAAACTTTACCTTTTTAGCGTTTGGTGTTTTCCTCCATTAATTACTAACTTAGGCTTTCCTTTATCACTAGTGCTAGTAGGCGTCATTGAACTGTAACTTGCAGTTGCAGTAGTGACATCGCTAACAAAACTGCTAATACTTGTTTCTTTGCTGATAGGACTGGAAGTCCTACCATTTGTTAGGACTTCTGACCCCAAAGATAACTGCATGTGTCCTTTGTTAGGACCCGGTGGCGGTTTTTCGTCCACTGGTAGCATATACGACAACATTACGTCGCACTAACTTTGTACAGTGCCAAACATTTTGTACACTAAACACTTTGACACTTTTTGCACTAGAGTTGCACCAGAAGTTAGTCTGGAAAAGAAAAATACGTTTGTAAGTTCCATTAAAATGTGCGTGGTTAGAATTTCATTTTTCAAAATAAACTGATCGACATAAACATGAATACTTTAAATTTTTTGCATAATATTTAAGTTGTGATTAACAATCGCTCCCATGTCCTTATCTTAATTCGATCAGTTGATTTCATGAAAATGATTAGGTTAAAAAAATAGCCTAAAGATTTACTTGGAATTTCAGTTGTTAATCTTTAAGATAAAAGACAAAACGATGTCACTAAAAATAGCCACTCTTATGTTTAGGAAAGGATTACGAGGATTAGTTAATGGTGGATGTTTTTGGTGCTAGTGACATAGAGAGTAAACATATCGATTGTGGAAGACCTATGGGTTCCCCCTTTGCCGGAAATAGTAGATTCCTAGCGTTTTGGAAAGGCAACCAGTGGTTTATTAAAGATCTATGTTCTAAAAACCTCAACCAGTATTCTTGACATCTTGTTTGATCATTTACCAAACTTAATACTACTTTTGTTATTACTTATTACATACATTATAATTACTAAAAAATATTTTGATAATTTGTATGTACCTACTGCACAAAAATCAATTAGTCTTTAGCACCGAAAATTAAAATTACATATTTAATTAGTTAACAGATTGTCTAACTAATTAACACGTCAACCACATTCATATCATATGTATCTATCTGTTACGATTTTTTAGGAATATGTACAAAATTATTCGTTCACAGGGGACACACTTAACGTTCATTACTCATGCCATAAAAATAATGAAATTGTTTGGAACAGTCAAAACCACCATTCATGATATTTAACAAAATTTGTAATCTGCAAACTTAATTCAGTCTACCTTGACAATGCAAGTTATAACTTGCACTGTATATGGTATGTGGGTGTCACCAAATCGAATGAAATCGTAAGCAGTTGTCAACAATTTTGCAATATTTTTCTTCCATATTTAAATGGTATTTAATCAGAATCTACCACGAAAATTTTTATCATCCACGACGCATTACAATGTTAAATAAATTCGCAACTACATTTACACAATTTTATGTGCGGTTGCCGCGGTATGTTTTTTTATGTTATAAATTTCCACTTTTACAGCGACCGACTTTAATGCTCCACAAATGAAGTCAACCAAATAACGATATCGACTTATACCCATAATAAACGTCTAGTAACACAAAACTTTGGAGCTGACTCTGATAACACCTCGTCACCTATTAATTGTAAAATCGGTATATACATACTAATCAAAAAGGTTCCGTAAACAGTATTAAAAGCAAAGTGTAACTTAATAGTGACAATGAACTGGCGTAACACAAGCTGCAACAACATATTTTGTTGCTAGTAGTCTGGTAATACAACACACGATAAACAAACACCTTCTGGACGTTCGCGATTACCCCTAGGATGATGCAGACATCGTTAAAATATTTTTAGGAAATAGATGCCTGAACACTTAAATTTTCTGGACGTTAAAGATATATTTACACTATAAAACACCTATGTCTAAACACAAACTTGGCGCTGAAAGCTGACATTTTATTTTTAAAAAAGTGCATCCATGGAATTCTAAACATCATAAAAATATTTAAAAACTGTATTTTACTCGAAGCCAACAAAATAAAATTAATATGAACCTGAAAATACGAGAATTCTTAGAATTGTCTAAAATCGAACAGTCGTATAAATTTCAATCAAAAAACAATGCCTTTTTAATGTAAAAGCTATCAAAATGAAGTCGGTGGGTTTTGTTATCGAGCAAGCATTAATTGAACCGGCACCTACACCCGATTAATTTAATTAATCTCTTCCCGGAAACCACAAAACTAAACAATACAATGAAATGAAAGAAACATCTAGGAATGCACATATTTTTTAAATTAAAATCCACACCTTGCAGTCTACTTCCACTACCAGTGGCGTCACTAAAGGGCGCTCGAACCACCCCGCTCTTTCGTATAGCCCAGAATTATTAAATGTTTGCAGATAAATACACCAAATTTTCAAAAATTATGCCTTTAATAAATGACATTAAAATAGAAAAAAACATTCGCATCTATAGCAGTATTTTTAAGTGAGCAGAATTCGTAGAATTTAATTACAAAATACAGTTTAAAGAAAATAGCACCAACATGGCAAAAACAGTAGCGAAGAAATGTCATTTTTTACGTTCGTTAAGTGAAATCTTTTATTGTCGAGCTTTGTTTGTTATTTTTCATGGTTATTTGAACACATTTCCATAATGAATTTGTGAAGAACATTGGTGAGATTATTTATAAGATTGATAAATTGTTCCTTTTTTATGTTGCAGAAAAATGTATCCACAAAAAAAATGTATAAAAAAATTTGAATAGTATTTAACACTTTAACAGCCCTTGAATACGCCAGATTACACTGCTCTCTAAAAATTGTGAGTCGGTATAACGTTGATTTATGGATCAGAACTATTTCAAATACAAGAGCAGTTGATATAAATTAATTTTGATTTACATTACATTTATCTAGATAAGATCTTTATCTTATCTTCTTTATATTTATAAAGAATAAATAAGTAAAAATATGGTATTTTTAAAATCCAGTTTATATTATTTTTTACAAGTGAGAAAAAAAAAATTTTAAGTAAAATTTAATTTTTTACACATACACATGTAGGTATATCAATGAACTACTTCCACTTTTATTAAAACTATTTTACATAACATGTAGAGTTGTAAATGTAATTGTTGTAATTCGTCTTACGTTTAATTGACGTACCATAAAACTGCTGTCGACTCTCGGTTGTGTAAAAGTTTAACCCAAGAGGGCACACACAGCATAAGATTTGATGAAACCATAAGATAAGTGCGTCGTTCATCAACACCTTAGTCTTTGTTTGCATAAATAATAATGATAACAGCATTTTTGTTGCGTCTACGAAAATGACATGAGACACTTTATAATTTTTGATTGCTCTAAACTAGCCAGATAACGTCACATTATTCAAATATTTTTCAAAAATCTGCATAATTAAATAAAATATATATTATATTAACAGATGCAAAATTTGCCAAATCTACATCAGACTTGATCCCGTCGTCCCCCATTTACTTTTCTTGTTACGCCTATGCCTACTGCACCCCATTTTCTGGCTCCACTCAAGTAAAATATCAATAGTTTCATTTCGTCACAGTCAAACGGCAACTGTAATTGTTATTGATGCGGATGTAAAGTCAACTTTACGCATCCATAAGCAAAGAAAGAGTCTGCGACTAGTGTTCCACGGAAATTAGCCGCAGTTCCTTCATTCAAGCCACTTCATTCAAACTACTCAAACAAACTTCATGCCACTCCGCCAACAACATCGTTAACGCAGTAATCTCATTCTTTATCTCATAAACTTCATAAATCAGAATACTGCTCTTTAACGAGACCCAACGAGGGTCAATGCCGGTAACCACCACCCCCTGATGACGAAACGCGCATCCTGCTGACGGAATGTTTACAAACATTTTCGCATCTTTCGCACAATCTCACATCCTGCATTAAAGATGCGATCGATAACTCGCGAAAATGACTAACGATTACGAAACAAACGTACGAGAACGTAGAAAAGTCGAAGAGCCGCTTTTTTGAAGCGGTAACCGGTAACTTGCGGTTAACAACATACATACACACGTACATACATGACGTATTAAAGTAAACTAATTAAGAACATCAACAATAACAAGAAGCCGTTAGTATCGACCACTTTAAATCAATTAAAGCGCTAATTCCGCCACTAACAAGATTCTCGATTCTCGGCATTAGGGGCAGTGACGGCGTCGGAATAATATGTTCAGGGTGGAGAAGAGGCACTGTAGTATTAATATCTACGCATAATAACTACAAACAAGTATCTAATTCTAACACATATTGGGCAGTAAATAAGTAAAAAACGGTTCCATAAAATTTCAAAATTAAATGTCATTGGTATTTGTGGGGTCAACCTCATGTGCGAAAGCTTTCACTGCAGTCACGCTTCTTGAGACATTGCATTTTCGTACCAGCAATCGTAATGAGTACCCGTAAACATTTAAAACTGCAATTTATTCCATACCAATCCGTAAATGACAACAATTTTATTCGAATTTAAGTCACCTAGAATGATTATTTTGTATTTCTTTCTGCAAAGGGTATAAACATAGGACAAATGAAACCTTTAAAGCTTATTTTGGTTCCAACAGCCAAACCAAATGTATCAATTTCATTTTTAAAACATGGTAAGTACGCCCCGGATTACCTTGGCCAGCAAAAACTCGTGTAGAAGAAACTCATATCTACAAATTTCTGCTGCACAAGTTCAAGTCTATCTGCACAGGTCGAGATGTGAACAAGGTCGGAATTATGGAGAAAAAAAAAAACACGCCTACATGGAGTGTGGAACTCTAAAATGTCGTTTTGTAAATTGAAAAAATGTAAACAAGAAATAAAAAGAAGTGCTTGGAAAAAACAAAAATTATTGCAAATTTTTAATTATTAGAACTAAAATTTTAGCTAGTTTCAGTAAAAACTTCGACAGTAGATGAGAATTGTAATCAAATGAATTGATTAGTTCTTAATTAGTCGAGAGATATGTCTTCAATTCGAAAACTTACTTATAACAAGTGTTCATTTAATTTTGTTTTAGGAAGGCTGTCCATCATTAAACGTATGTTGTGTACTTTCTATGTAACAACACAGTCAGCTTCAAACAACTTCAATTTCAAATAATAAATACAAAAACATGATTTAAAAAAGAACAAAACAAAGCAGAAGCTACTAATACTCGTAGAACATTCATAAAATATGTAGTAGTAACACCTTTGTCCACGTCTACTAAGCAGTAGTAAACATCGGTTTGTTAAGTTTACGGTAGTCACCGACTTTGGCGTTAATTTTGCAACCGAAAAGAAACCTTTAGATAAAAAGAAATAAGTTTTGTTTAATTCTACGTCAACAGCATCCAAAATCTGTTTTTAGCGTCTCCTTGAACTTTTTTTGTTCCGGAGGGCATACATATTTTTGGGGGGCTCACTCCGCCACCTGCCCCTTGTAGCGCCGCCCCTGAATTGGGGAAGTGTTATTGATCATCACGGCGCGGTCTGGAGGCGTTTCGAAATTGAAAAGTGATTGCAGGAACGATGTAAAAAGCAGGAAATTCCTGTGGCGCATTTTAGAAAGTGCCGCAAAAACGTACAAGGTCTCGAAAATGTTACATAAACGACAGTGCAGATCGTGGTCGCCGGTGATAGGAAGTGCGGTTACGGCAGCAGGACAAGCAGGAATGAGTTGTAAATTGTAAAGTAACGTAGAAGTGTGTAACTTCACGAAAATTGTATTTACCTGCGATCGCGGTAGGGTTGGTCGTGGCCTGGCCCTAGGCACTGACACCACACCTGCACTGCACCACGTCAATTCTGGATGGTCGAAACCAGAGATGCATGCAATGTCGAGAGCGCGATCTGAGAGCTGCAGGAGCCGGTGCCGAGTTGTTTATCCGCGACGTACTCACGGCGCAGCTCGCGATTTGTACAACACAGCGGACCATGTAAACTCTACTGCTTTGTTACTTCCTCATACCACCGAGCAGTGCGGCTGCGCGCTATGAGGGGTACAATAAAATGGGCTTTGGATTTTTGATGGATTATTCGCGAGCGCTCAGCCCCTTTTAATTGCCTCTGGTTGGCTTGCCTCTGCTTGCCAGACGAGCGGTCTGTGAGTACTAGCGTAATTACCATACGCATCAAACTGTGAGATCTGCGACTACGGTTACGAATTACAAATATTAGCTGTCCGATTTTGTTTACGTTTGTTGAGTCGTTCTGATGTCATATTATGTTTGAAAAATCATGTGATTTTTTTAAATGCGTGAAACCACGACGCTAATTGTTTATTTTTAACTGACTTGTTCGTTGAACGAGTCGACGGTGTCAATTTACTGGTTATATTATAATTTTGTAGTAGTAATGAAGCACTCAGTTGTTAATGGCCCGATAATTACCACAATTTAACTATCTACTTTAAACGATTGATGTTTGATAAGTGAGGGAAATGAGACACAGTGTGTACAGTGTAGATTGTAGTCATTTCTCACAAGCTTAAAACTTGGGGGATGAACAAGGTGATACGTCTCACTTTATACTTTATACGAATGCGAATAAATAGGGGAACACCAGCAATCGTAGCCAGTTAATAAGAATGTGAAAAACTGTTCCTACAAATTAAACTTCTTAATTTTACCTTGAATAACTAGAAAGTATGTTCAATAAGTTATAAAAAAACTCAATGACTACAAACGTCAAACCCGTGACTACTTTTTGAGTTTCAATGAATCGTGGTAATGGGATCAATGATTTTAAAATGACGTCACATCAGTTCTACACGTAAAATTTGTCAAAACGGACGGAAGGTTTCATCGTTTGCTGTAAAGTTCGACAAACTCTTCTCAGTACTATGTGATCGTAAGTTGAAGCTAAGGTCATGTAAGTGTGAAGCTGATGAAATAGTGTCGTTCCACTGTGGATGAACTCTTTTTGCAGAGAAGAAGCGGCCATAGGGTAGGTATAGCATTTGGAAGGAAGGTTGATTTCGCTCACAGTATGAACAAAAATTCAGATGGGATTTTGCACTTCGTTGTGTTCAGCAATCCAGAGTTGGAAAAGTAATTTTCTAATATTCCGGTCATAGTGGAAAAGTTACAAATTTTACTTCCCGAACGTAACTTAGTATTGTAATGGAGTCTATCTGACGAATGACTATTTTCGTGTTTTCTCGACGTTTCGTGACCCCTAGAGTACAAAAAAATGGGTCGTCTATGTCGATTTTTATTAGACAGAAATAATGCAAGTGAAATAAAACTGAACACACTGTGAAATAAGTTCAGACGATAATTCGTGTTTATTCATTTTTATTTATTTATTTATTTGTTATTTATTTATTTATGTATGTATTTCTTATTTTTCAAAGTTTTTTAAGCAACTGTCCACGACCGGAAATTTATGACGACAGCATTATACCATTTAAAGGTATATTCGGCAGACTATCAGACAGAGGAAAGTTTTCTTATGGATTTAAATCAAATCTAGCTTCTTGCAGACAATATCTTGATTGTGTATATTCTAATGTGTTAGCAACAATCGATATTTTAGTTGTGAAAATTTATATACATATGTCACTGTGTTCTCAATATTATTGTGTATATTATTGCAAAACTAAGAGTTAATCCAGGTGACACGGCATTGTTTTTCTTCTTTATGATCGTTACTCTCTAATGTATCTACCTACCAAATAGATTTAAAGATCGTAATACATATATCTAGGTATATATTTTGTTATTCATTAGGGATATTGAGCAAACCCTCAGATGAAAGACACCAAAACTAATTATTATTATTATTGTTGTGTTCATCAGTACAAATACAAATCTGACAATGTAAAGTTAAAAACGTGAGTGATTATCGTCACCCCAGTTTAGAAACTTCCCCAAAGCAAATTATAATAGTCAATTACATAATTATTTAAAGATCTATTTAAAGATGTCCTGGTTTAGAAAAGCAGATTTTATTCAATTATATAGCGTGATGTAAAAATGGTACACTAATTTTATGACACGTTACTATAAGAACTGTTTAGTAAGCAAAGAAAAAATAATTTAAACATTCTTGGGCTCAAATGTAGAAGACATAAGCCTTCAAATTATAATTTTTGTTTTAAATATTTAACCATGTTTTAATATACTACTGAGTGTTGGGTACATAAAATCAATCTGACTTTCATTATGCAAAATAATTTTGGAAGTACTACTCGCATGGTTTTATCGACAGTTTTCTTTATACTACAATACTACAAAAAAAAATTGGTCGAAGATTACTTCGACAGAATTTCGCTCGCCCATAAAGTACAGTTTGTCAAATCCAGCTCTTTCGAAAAATTAAAAGATTTGATTTTACGAGTTTTATTGTTTTTTATGACAACCATTATAAGCTAAAATAAAAATTTGTGTCTAATGTTTGACTAAAGGTACAGAGACGGGCTAACCGTTTGTTACAAGTGAGTTTTTCTATTACAAAATTTGTGTTGACATTGTTGCAAGGCCGCATATATCAGTTTGAATAGATGCATTGTAATACTAATAATAAAAGTATTGTATTATTATTATTCTTGAATAGTGATTTATAATCAATAAAATAACGAAACAATTTAAACACGTCTACTAGGTATATGTAATAACAGAGGTGCGACTGAAGACTGAACTGAAAATCATTTATGGTACTTGTAATTTAAGACAAATAGCGATCAACCTGTAGACGTGAGAATGAAACAGAAAATAAACTAAAAGATATTTTCTATGAATTGCAATAAGCGGATCACAATGCCGGCGGTCCAGACTTTTTTAGTGCTTTGACTTCCGTTTATTGAATAAAACACTACATTTTATTTTGATTTTCGATGTTGTAATTCACATTTGGTTAATTATAACTTGTCTAGATATAGGGGCGGCTCAGCATCCGCTAGCCTCCCTCAAGCTACTTCTCTAGGGGGTCTGAAATATCGAGAAACTATGAAAGTATCAAATTACCCGATGGACTCTATTACATCCTTGGGTATCCTCGATAAGAAAAACAACTTGAAAGTATTTATGTTTATCCATCAGAAGAATGTCACATAGAAATTAGGATCAAAACTATTAAGAAATAATCTACAATCGAGAAAATGTTCTGAATATCATTATTATAATTCTTATTATATAAAGACGTTTGTATTTTCACATTTTCGGAATTTGGTCAATAAAAAATATGAATGCAATGATGAATCACAAGTAAAAACTCAGCATATTTTGCACATTTTGGATAGGATTTATTCAGAAAAATTTTGAGATAACGTCATCAATTTTTTGAAGGGAGTAAACAAATTTATTTTGATTAACAATTTACCATGCTTACAATGACTTTAAAACGTCTGCAAGATTTCAAAGCGTTCAGTTTTGCAATTCTTGATTTATTCAATAACATAAATTGACTGATTTATCAATTTTTTTGAGTCACCTTGTATAAATAAATCTAAAAAATATGAATGCAATGATAAATTACAAGTATAGACTGATTATGTTTTGCACATTTAAATAGGATTTATTCGGCAAAATTTTGAGATGACGTAATCAATTTTTTAGGGTTGATAAACAGATACATTTTGATTAAAAAGTTACCAGGCCTACAATAACTTCAAAACGTCTGCAAGATTTCAAAATATTCAGTTATGCAATTCTTAATTTAAACACTAAAAGAAATTGACTCAGTCATTATTTTTTTAAGACACCCTTTATAAGCAAATCCAAAAAATATAAATGGAATGATAAATCACAAGTACAGACTCATCATATTTTCTACTTTTTAGATAGGATTTATTCGGCAAAATTTTGAGCTGACGTCATCAATTTTTTATAGGGAATAAGTAAATATATATAATTCGATTAAAAATTTATCATGCCTATCATAACCTTAAAACATGTGCAAGATTTCAAAACATTCGGTTTTGCAGATTCAAAATTAAATTGCAAAATGTTGTTTTATAGTTTTGATTTTTTTTTCCAAAAACCTGGACGTTTCGGGACAGAGAGACAGACGGACAGACAGACGAACGGACAAACAGACAGACGGAAGAGGGAGACCTATTTCTTCGTACTCTAGAGGTTAGGAAACGTAAAAGTAGAGAGTCGGCCGACTTTTACTCTCTTACTCTCGGGAAGTAAAAACTTAAAAATTGTTCAAAATGGATCTGACACCAAGGGCTAATTTTCTCTCTCTTGTAAGTGAACGTTAAACTGTCGTAATGGATTTTTTATGATTATTCTAGAACTTAGATTTGTGAACTTAACTGTTGAATTAGTGCACCATTGTTGAAACACCTTGTAGATTAACTGGTTCCAAAGTAATGATCGTTCATTGCTAACTGAATTGATTTTGACTCCGTTTGTTCTCTTTTAAATTCTATACTAAGTAACATCTTTGCAACCTTATTACCTAAAAAATAGACTGTCTGTCCGTCTGTCCGCCGTCTGTGTCGATTTTTATTAGGCAGATAATCTCCAAAACTCCCAGACCGTTTATCGTCAAATCTTATATGTCTATTAGAAAAAACGCTGACCAAAATTGAAATAAAAATCCTATTTAATGCAAATCAAATGAAAATAATTATCTACCTAGAGAATGATGATCTTGTTTATTCGCTTGAATGCACGTCCGACGCACTAATGAAATCTTCAGTAGATTTGTCTTAGCTCTAGGTGGTACGAATGTGATCATCGGTCGGGAATTAATCGTTTGAACTCTTGTTTGAACATATATGGCATAACACTCCACTTCACCAAAAATAAATTTTTTGGAGAAACTTAGCACCCTGCTCTTCACGTCTTTTACCAAGTTCTACGAAATCATGTATTTTCAGAATGGTTTCATTATCGCTTCCTCTTTCTGGATAGTTCCCATCTAAATAGCATAAATCATAGATATTTTAAAAACCGTTTTTGAACTTTTTCCTATACAAATAAATTTTACTGCATTAGTTTTGGAAAAAGATTTCGTTACCTGCAGAAAAAATTCAAGCATTTTCAATGCAAAGCTAATAATGGCATCTATATGAAAATTAGCTGCCCAGCAGAAATTACACCGAGATCCTTAATATGAAGTTTCCTCTGCAGTGTAATGCTATCAATACAGTAATTTGTTTTAATAGGTTCATTCTTTCTACCGTACGACACAACACAACATTTATCTTTATTTAATTTTTGTTCAGAAGCCCTAGTCAAATTGCTAAATAAGTATATTTAAATTTTACTTCAGTCGAAGTGGGTCAGTATTATTATAGATTGCTTGATATCATTTAATGTCATCAGTAAGCCCATCACGTTTCCTTAAAGCTACTACATCAGGAGATCAGTTATAAATAACGAAAAAATTATAGCTCCACGTTGGATCCTTGAAGTACTCCTGTTTTAGTATGATACTGAGAGGATATACAATGATTTTTTTGTGCGTTGCCCATTTTCTTCTAGCGTTCAAGACATATATCTGACATCAAGTTGAAATTTTATCTCTTTATTGAATACGGAAAAACAAGGCACTTTGCACTATTAAGATGACTCACTCTCACAAGACAAGGAAAGGATTTAGTGGATTTAACATAGGATAAAGAGGTATCATGAAGTAAGTAAAAACCCTGACAAAATTAGCACTTGTATTCGCTCTAATTATGATTATGACGATATAACTAACTTACACAATTTGCAACCAAAATAATAATCAATCTAAATACTGAGTAATCGAAAACCAAGCTCCAAGCGGGTACCATTTTCTAAATTAAAAACACAAATTTGCTTCCAAAAACTCATTAAGTCATTATATTGCAGAGTGATAATTCACCTTCACCTTCACCTCCCTTTACTTTACTGTAATGACGTCACCTTAAAATTTTGCTTATTAAAGGTTATACCCCAGAACTTTGTTCTTATTTATTATTATTATTATTATTTTTATTGTTTAAACTTTATTCTTCTTTAGTCACATTAGCTGCGTAAGCCTGACTCATACACCCGTGGAGGGAAGTTTTGCTTTGCAAATGAAAGGTTCACGATCCCGTTCCTTACGGGATTTCCAAATATTTTATTGATCAAATCAAGACACTTTTAATAAATAGTAGTATTACACTGTACGTGTCGGAATTGACATACGTGTCCTTGCTGCAACATTGATCGGAACATTTTCCAATGGAAAAATTCATTAGAAACACAGGCATTGCCGTGCGCTTTATCAATGTAGTGCAAACTGACACTCCGCACTAAACCAAATATAAACAAGTCAACAGAGTGTTTTTGTAACATAATGTCTTCGATTCAAAGGCAGTATCGGAGCATGTATGTGCGACTAAAGTATGATACATTAATAAATTCAAGAAAAGAAATCTACAAGTGTTTTTTACACTGTGATTGGTATTATCTATATTGTTTTTCTAAACAACTGAAAATCAAATAAGCTGTTTTCTTGCAATAAAATAAATTACTTCATTCATTGATTTTTTGGGTTATCTCATTTAAGCAATTGTAAAAAATATGGTTTCAATGATGATTAGCTACAAGCGTAAATCCGGAACATTGCATAATTTAGATGGGATTTATCTAACAAAATTGGAGGTGAGATGTAGATACATTTTTATTAGTGATTTATCATAGGTACGGTAACCAGAGTTAGGCAAAGCCGAAGTGATGGGGAATTAATCAGACAAATATTAAAAATAACGACGCGACGTCAGGCGATAAATTTGGCTGACCGACTGTGCAGTCTCAACCTCAGTGGCGTTTGATACAATCCAGGGTTTATCTGATCAAGATCATCACGAAAATTGTGATATTGAACAGTCACTTTTAATTTTTGAAGCATTTTAACATCTAGGAGAACTCGTATAACTGAGGAAAACTTAGAAAAAGTAGTCATTGTTATTTAAAATTGCCGAAGTTGTAGGCCACGACTGCAAGAGCGCCGATAACCTTAAGATGGGTGCAAAATTTCAAATTAGAACTCTTCCAAAAATCCAGTTGTTTAACTTGAAAGAATAAACACAAATTAATAAACCATAAGTATAGAAGAATATTCTTTTATAACATTTATTAGAATTTACTTAGTAAAATCTTAAAACGAAATTGTTGATGCACCAAAGATAAAATTTCACAACAATTAGTCCAATAGTTTCGTACAGATAGATTATTTTTGTAATAAAATTTCCAACAGACGACAGACAAACCGACGGAAATGGTGACCCACTTGTCATATATTTGAAGGCATGAAACGTCGACAAAACATGGAATTAGCCATACGCCAAATGGACCCTTTTACGCTCAAGAAGTTGAGTTCGTGGAAGAAAGTTAGTTTCTTACCTGAATGGTAGAACATAGCATCTGATGGTTTTCATTCTGTTGAAATGCAAGCGTTCTTGGGGATCTATACCGCAAATCGGAAAGATTTCGATCACATGGTATACTTAACAACGAGGAAAATTTTCTTCTAGGTTATCATTCATCGTGTTATCAAAGTAAAAAATTCTTTCAGGTATTAGGCTTTATTCAGATAACCTTGACAATTATGTGTCGCCATCGTTTCGAAACGTTGGAAGTATAACATAAGGTTATCTGAATCAAGTTCAGTACGTGAAAAAATTATTTAATGAGAAATATTGTTTTTCTTAAGTAGAAAATATCTGTTGACTATCATTCGGTGTGCGATGAATTCATAAAGAATTCCATTCATTAAATACAATGTTATATAACAACACTACTATTGCATTTAATCAATCAGTTGAACACAACATTGTTATTGTTATTGTATTTAATAAATGGAACATAATGTATTGTAATACCAAAACAATTCAGTCTCACCGTGTCTACAACATAATCATGTGCTGCGGTTAATTCGTAAAGCCGAAGAGGAGGAAAATAATCCTTGAAACTTGGTCAAATAAAACTGCGTAAATTTGGATTACAAGAAAAACGGTTTCAGCATAAACAGCTTTACTTTATATACGATGTTTAACCACATGTGAAATAAATTCAGTACCTTAAAAACTAAAAATATTTGTGTAGAAAATTAACAAATAGGTATACAAAAACATTAATCTTTATTAGACCTGTAAGTTCCAAAGTTACCTTATTGATATTGCTGATATTCTTAAATCACATGTTAAAGTTTAATAACTATCGGTCCAGTTATTTCGAAATTAATAAAAGTCGAGTCAACACGAGCAGACAGACGAAAATGGGAAACCTACATTCTCGTATTGTAGGCATCATAGTGGAGGAAACATGAAAGCAGGCATTCGTCGAATGGATCCTAATATTACTTACAATACTTCCTTAGCTTAAGCTCGGAAAGTAAAAATCTATGTTAAAAAAAAAGTGGAACCTAAAAGTGATATCAAATGTTTCATTAATTACTGGAATCATTGTTACTAACTCAAACACGTTTTTATTCCCGTAACATCGAACAGTATATATTAAGGTACTATTAATTTTTCGAGAGATAATATCATAACTGTTGCAAAGCGGCAAAATTATGTTGATATTTTTACGTGTTTGAGTTAATCCCTCTTTTAAGGTAGTTAATTAATATTAAAATTGTTTCCTTCATTAATTTTTAGTTATCCTGGGTAACTAATTCTGAAAAATATAATACCAAAACACAAACAACATTCAAGGCACATTTTTAACCCTTTCACTACGGCTGCCGTACGTATATTTTCGAACGCTTTGCTTTCATATTGCTGCTGGCATACGTTCCTAATAATGCATTTCTATGCATTGAAAAGCGCAGTTTGCGACATGCTATGTCCAAAAGTTGCGCATGATCCGTTTGGTTGAATGCATATATACGTTTACCGTATTCATTGCACCCATCGTAAACACGTTCTGACGACCAGAAATGGCCTGTAAAGAATTAACAGAAGCCGAGTTACATGAATTAGTTGAAGAACTAATGCAAAATAGTGATAGTGAAGGTGTGTATGATTATGATAGTGGAGAAGGTGAGAGTGAAGAAGATGAGGTTGACAACAACACCATAACCAGTGATGAACGTGATAGTCCACTTGCTGTCGGTACCTTTGATCTCGGCGGGGCGTGCGCATTACAGTTCAAAAAAACGGGCCCCTAGCGCATGCCGTATTGCCGCTTAGTACCATTGTCGTAGTTGCCACATCGCCAACAAATCTCTTTAACGCATCCCGAGTCCCAAAATGACAAGTATCAATTTTACAACAGCTTTTATGGTAATAAAATGATGTAAAAACTAAAGATAGTAGATTTTTTATTACGCAAATTTTCTTTTTACTTCTGATCAAGGCCCCAGCTGTTGTTAAAATATTTGGCAATCACTATTGTATGAAGGCTTTCGAATGTAAAAACCTCAAAAAATTAACAAAATGATTTGGATGGCCATTGCTACGTACAGTCAGGGACACGGAATTTCATTAAAACTGCACGTTTTCACATTAGATAAGGGAAAAAATTATATAGAACCACAAGAACAAAGTACCATGTAGTTAATCAAATTTATTTGTAAAAAATAACCACATTTCATTTATTTATTGACAAAAATAAATACGCCCTAATAATAAATATACGACACAAAACTTTTCAGATAATGTGATCGTAGAGCGTGATAGATGGATAGCTAATGCTTACTGGAAAGCAACAGGACAAGTCTACATATATTAATCAGAGCCTCCCTTTATCTGAAAACTAATATACAAATAAATACACCTACCACTAAAAATGACTAGAAGAAAGCCCACCAGTTTAACATATCACAGTCTAATATACGAAAAATATAGACGTCTAACAAAAACTTGACTTGACAACTTCTACAGATGTCGTAAACTATTATCCAATCTCGCTTTTTCTGATGTCGTGTTGATTTTAAACGTTCCATATTGGCAATTTTTGTTCAATGGAATATTCTCATTCTTACAAAGACAGCAAATATTCTATTTGAAAATTATCACTTGGGAGAGCGTAATTAATAGTTGCTAGCAGCTCCTTTAACTTAAGCCTACATTTGAACCTAAAGCCACTGTCTGAAAAAGTTCGCAGCAGACGTTATCCTGTTTTTAATATACTCGTAAAATCCTAATGACAGCATTGTTAATCCTTCAAATAGATTTGGTCGATTGAAATGCCATGCAACATGGAAAACCTGTTCAGTCATTTCATTCACTTCATACTGAGTATTCCCATATTCAACACACCTGGAACAAGAATGAGGTGATAAACATTTCTAAAATAAATACCCACATATGTAGTAGAGGATATTCTACATTTGTATGTTCTGCAGTTTCTACAGTTAAAGGAGTAAAAATGTTTTTCTCTGGAAACAAATAGGTAGTCAAAATTATAAGCACTCATCCTTCCGCTGTCTAATATTATTAAAAATGTTCTCCATCGTCAACATTGTTTGTTCCTTCACAATGCTGAAAATAATCTAAACAAATTTCATAACCTAAAAATGATTAATACATTATGTTAATTCCAACAAAAATAAAGTGAAAGAGTAAATAGGTACTTATCGTTGTGGACGGCCTTAGTGGTGTTGCTTAATCAGAGTAAACACTGCCAGAAGTAAAATGTGACGATTCATAAATGTCAATATTTTTTGAGGTGGAAAGTCTTGGTTCGTTTGTCACAACTGTTTGTTTGGTAGTCCTTATTGTTTCACCTAAAATTTCCAATTATTCTACTAATTTAATTTTCAATAAGACGGCACCTGAAACATGAAGAGTTGGATAGGCTGTTGCTTTCGGTCGGTGGCACAACAGCTGATGTGGATACATTTTTAGTTCAAAGTGACGAATGCAAATCCGATACCTTCTGTAACGTTCTGTTGCAGAATTATTCATGACTGATTCTAGTTTAACTATTCTTGCCCATAAATTTGACCTGTATGTAAACAGTTTAATTTTATAATAAACAACATAGCACACACATATCACTGCGCTAATATGTAAGAAAACAAAGATAACCTTACCTAACCTAAATCATCAAAATGAAATATAAAAAAAGTGGCACTAGGCACTAATCTACAAAAGAAAAGAAAATTGTAATAGTTTTGCACGACTGCTGCAACGCCCTTAGTCACTTTTAATACGCGATATTCGTTAATTCGTTCACAAAAAGTAAATCACTAATTCAACCCATCCGATCAACATTTAACGTTGAAGTGACACAGAAATATTAATAAACGTGTTATGTTTAGGTTTTGTTAAATCAATTTAAATCAGTCAATAACAAAACCAACAATTCGCACACCTAACTTAAATGTGCAATTCCAATACTACAACATAACCTCAATCAACATAACAGCATTTTCGCATCTGACAGTTCAATAACCTAGCCTTACAACCGATGTTTAAATTTACCACGCAAAATATATTGCGCGGGATACCTGCGTAAGGCAAAATTGACTCCATGAAGGTTGCGGAGTGGGATATCACGTTCATCACTGCCATAACATTTACTGATGATAGTGACGGGGAATCACAGCCACAAGAAGACCCAGAGGCGCTGAACCTCATGAACGATCTCGACTTTGATTGGGAATTTTCGCCAGAATTTACATCCAAACCACATACCTTTACAGCACAAGACCAATCTGGTTGCAGGAATGCAAACTTGAACAGTTAGTTGTCAGACAAAACCTTTAGCTTTAGTAACTTTGTAAGTAACTAATACTATTTTTAGGACATTAGAAATTTTTGAATCTTTCATTACATCTGAGTTAGTTCAAGAAATTGTCACAGAATCTAATAGATATAAAATACAAAAACAACATGATAAAACTAATCCTAAAAGCTTCATAAAGCAAATTGAAAACATTACTGGAAACGATATTTATTGCTTAATTGGAGTTTCAATGTTGATGGCAAGAACCAGAAAATTGAAACTTTCAGAATATTGGTGCTCAAATCCGTTAATTAACACTCCTATATTTTCTCAACTACTACCCAGAGGCCGTTTTTGTTTTTGCGGCGAAATTTACACTTTTTCAATAATGATCTTCCTTATAATGGTGATAAATTACATAAAATTAGACTAATAATAAACGCTTTGAGAACGAAGTTCAAAAACAGCTTTTATCCAAATGAAAATGTTTGTATAGACGAAAACTTGATGTTGTTCAAGGGGCGGCTTGGCTTCAAACCGTACATTCCCTCCAAAAGACATCAATTTGGAGTTAAGCTTTTTTTGATTTGTGATTCCACAACGGGCTATGTAATGGATTTTATTGTTTACATTGGATCTACAGCGAGTATACCCCAAGAAAACGAAGCTGTGGGAGTTTCTGGAAAAATAGTGTTGGCACTTATGGCACCATATCTGAATCAGGGACACTTCCTTTACATAGACAATTGGTATTCTAGCCCATCACTTGCCAAATGTTTATATCAAAAGCAAACAAATAAGTGAAAAATTGGAAAAAAGGGAAATGACGTTTAGATCATGCGGTCCAATTTTAGTAGTAAAATTGGCAGATAAAAAGGATATTTACATGATTACAAGCAAGCACGATTATGACATGACTGATACAGGAAAACAATGTGCAGTAACGAAACATAAAATTCTGAAACCGACTTGTACATATAATAGACTACAATAAAAATATGGGAGCTATTGATCAATCAGATATGATGCTGAGTTCTTGTGAATCAGCACGCAAATGTGCCAAATGGTACAAAAAATTGTTCTTCCATTTCATCGATATATGTCTACTGAATTCTCATTGTTTATATGCTGCTTTGACTAATAAAAAAAATGCCACTCGCTGATTTTCAACTCCTGCTACTAAACGAACTGCTTGCAAAATATTGTACCCCAAATCGTGGACCAAACCCTGGAGTACAACACCTAGGGCATCCTCTCCGGCTAATAGGAAGACATTTTATCTCTAAAATTCCGCCTAGAGAAGGAAATAAGCCCGTTGTGCGTCGCTGTGTCGTCTGCTCAAAAAACAAATTAAGAAAAGAAACCACATATTATTGTGAGCCTTGTAATGCTCCTCTTTGTGTGCTGGGTTGTTTTAAAACATACCATACTAAAAAAAGATTTTGAATCGAATTTTCAAGAAGTGTATTTTGTTATCTGTTGCGTTATATAGTTTTATAAAGTTACTAAGAATACTATTACATTTATGTTTCAGTAGAATTAATAAATTTACGTTTTTCATAAATGTATGTTTTTATAACTACCTGTAACGGCTACCGAATGCATTTATGCGTAGGTAGACTGGACTCAAACATTTAAGACGTTTATGGATTTGACGTTTAAAGTACTTTACAGCCGACCTTAGTAAATGTAAACCTTAGATCATATAACAAATAGATACCAATACTCAAACTGAAAGCTGTGACTAGACATGAAGCAATCTGTTGTCGTTTTCTACGTCAAGGGGAGTGGTATAATGCTATCCTTGTGTGATCACCACATCTTCATCTTTGTTATATGCATTTCATCTGTATATGTCTATTTCATTTCCATCCTTGTACCGCACCAGCGCAACAAATCGCTTTTGACAGATGTTTCTTCTAACCTCTCTTTCGAGTTCTTGTACGAAAAACAATTTTAGAATTTAGAACAAAGATCCTATTTTAAGTGATGTAATCATAACAGATCACAATTGCTGCCCAAAAATTTACTATTCCTTTCGTTATCTACTCTGAATTATTTATAAAATCAAGCTGTCAACATCTTTCGTACGAAGTTAGTTCAGACGTACTTCCTAAAATTTGGGCGCGCAAAATTCAAATAGTGATCAGGCAAGGATAGCTTCATTGTAATCCCTCCAAGCACAAAAGAGATGTGTGACAGGAGGATGTCGTCACAGGCTCTCCTAGGGAAAGAACACGGCGTGTTGGTATCTATTTATTATATGATCTAAGATGTAAACCATGCCACGTGCCAGGGACGGCCGAGACGCGAAGGACCGGACTAAGAGTAATTTTGTTTTTAACGTTTCTTCCGTACCTTAATTATTTAATCATTATTCTGCACATCTAAAAATGTTATTAAGATTACCAAAATTTAGTAGTGCAATTGTCTACGACATTCCATAAAAGAAGAAGACCAGTACAGTCCTGCCCTGTGCTTTTACCAGAAAAGGTTTTTTCAGGTAGGTATCGGTGAGCGGGTTTAAGACATCCGGCTGTAACGGCCTATTGAATTATAATGGGAGTCAAATTGGTGTGAAGCCATAAACGCCTTAAAAGTTTGAGTCCAATCTACTCCCAAGCAATAAGTACGGCTACCGTACGAACCTTAATGGAAAAAACGCATCCATACTCAGGGCTTGGGACGCTGAAATTTCAACCGTAGCAAAAGGGTTAAGCATTTATTTAATGATACGTATGTATTTCAAAATAATGTCAACAAGGTAAAAGAGAGCCTAAGAGCACGCATACATAGACTCTAGCCCATGTTTTTTATCAGTGAATCAAATTTAGTGTCTTACCAAGATATCGAGAGATCCTTAATGTATTGTAAGTTCCAAACAAGCTGTAAAATTTAATTTTACAAATTTTATTTTTTACGATTACCCGTAAGCACAAGATTAAACATATGATAAAGAGTATGGCACAACATAAATTTTGAATCAAAATTATTAACAATATTTTAAGAAAAACATTATTATACAGCTATAGAAGTTGTGCGACAAAAATAACAATTAACCTATAAGTAACGAATTCTGTCGCACGTGTGTGTGTTCGTCGAAAGAATATTAATTATTTCTTACTTCCTTTTATATTTTCAGCCACTCAAAGCGATGAAACTAATTCGTAAGTCAGGGCCGGATTAAACATGAGTTGTCGCTGTGGGCTCAACCTATTCAAAAAGTACGCTCAAACAGGCTGAATATCCCCCTCATGATTACGAGACTTAACCTAAAAAAATGTACAGTTTTTTTTGTTTTGTTTTATGTATTATTAATAATCAACACTTTTTATCACTTGCGACGAATTTCCAGTGACGTACACTCGGACACGATATCGTTAAACTGATTGCCTGATGTACTTGTTTTTGAATGCACAAAACAGCAAAATTATTTAGTTTTTCATTTAACATTGAGGATTGCAGGACATTCTTAATTCGCTTCATCCCCGAAAAATTGCCTTCTGAACAATTTTTCACGAATAGAGAAAGATAAATTCTTAATGCTCTACTAAACTGGGGAAAATATTCTGTATCTGTAGATTTTCAGTAGGTATAAATTAAATTAACTATCTAGATTTGGATATTTTCTTCATTATGTCTAATATATTGGCTGTCTCTATTTTCGTAAATGGATGTAATTTTCCTTGATATATCCACGAAAACATAAGCATTCAGGAATTAAAGAATCTATAAGGTCTTTGTTATAACTACTTTTCGGAGATTTTGTCGGTCAAAACCATCATTTTTTGAATTGTGTTCAAGTACCATAAATTTCTGAAATATTTCTTTGTTTTCAAAGCTCTTTTCTTTAATTTCATAACGATTTAATCAATAACAGCGATATATTTTCTATTCTTTATCACTTCTAGAAAGATTTGCGTTAACAAATTTACTGGGGTTAGTTACTTATATAATCATCTGTTAGTCCCTAAGATGTTATACTGATGTTAAAAAAGTTAAGAAACATGTGGACCTGATTTAAATTTATATTGGCATTATTTTGCAACTTTAAGTTAATTTTCATAACATGGTTATAATAAAGAGAATATAATTCATGGATCACATGACCCCATTTCTTCCAATAGAATTTGTACATGCCCTTAGTTACATGTCTATCACAGCGATAATAATTTTATTGCCTTATTGTGGTCTGTTGCTACCTAAATTTAAAAACTGTCAAATTTGACAAATTTTAGAATTTCATAAATTTTATTGCCTTATTGTGGTCTGTTGCTACCTAAATTTAAAAACTGTCAAACTTGACAAATTTTACAATTTCATAATTTTTTTTGTCTATTATGGCTTGCCAACGTTGGGGGCAAGCTCAAAACGACGAAATCAATTCTATGATCAAAAATATGTTCATTTATTATATTCTCATGTTGAATATAACTCGTGATATGATTAATAATCGAAGATATGCTTCGTGAAACCGAAGCAGCACATTCAACTCGTGCTTCGCACTCGTTGAATCTGCAGCTCGGTTTCACTCGAAATATTATCGATAATAATCATATCACTTGTTATATTATAATTGACAAGAAAAAGTGTAATACTGTTTATTTTCCATATGCCTGGTCACGTAATCCATTTGAACAAAATGTGCACAGTAGACCAGGTCAGGTGCCTAATTCATTTCTGTGTCGTGATGCGTGTAACGAAAACAGCTATAATTTATACAGTTTCTGAATATTTGGTGTACTGTGTTATTTTTGACATAAACGAACTACATACACATATAATAAAATACGTTGTGATGATTGAGGCACACACTTAATGATCCTTCAGCAATGTAAAAGCTAGTTTGAAAAATTGATTACACAAAAAAAAATAGAACTGAGATTA